AGCGTGAGCGAGCGAGTATCATTATACAGTGTCTATGGAGAGGGAGTAAGGCTAGGAAGGAAACAGGGAAGCACAGAGAGCACTTAGTGAGGGTCCAGGCCCTCTGGCGTGGTGCTCTGGCAAGACGGGAGGTGAACGAGCTGAGGGAGGCGATTGTGCTGGAAGATAGAGTTATCAACGCGATGACGTTTATACAGGCAATGTACAAGGGCAATGCGCAGAGACGAAAGTACCTTTGGGAGAAAATGATGGTGACGCGAGTGCAGAGGACTTGGAGACGCTTTGTATGGCAGCGCAGACTGAGAAGGGCGAGTGCTACGAAAACGATACAGTTGTATTGGCGATGGAGAAAGGCTGCATTGAGAGGAGAGGAAGGGCGACGGCGTGCCGCAATAGCATTGCAAACTAGGTGAGTATCATTGACCGCTCGTTTGGGGTTCTCTATAGGAGTTGTAAGCACGGCTCGGGTAGTTGTATAATAGAGCGGTTGAACTGTTGTTGTCTTCAGCATCCGTACTGCACTTTGGCGGAGGAAGTTGAGAGAACCTGAAGTTGAGTGCTTCAACCGACACAGTGTTGAATATGCCGCCCGTTGCCTCCCACCGCGCAATGCTGGTTCTGCTTGGGCCGACTATGTTATGATCTCTCATGTGGAGGGAGTTGAGGCAGCTACGGTATGTCCGGTTGTCCGTTGTTGTTTATTCTGTTGTAGTTGCGGTACCCCCTCAATGAGTGGGGCCTTACGCGAGATGGAGTTCTCCTCAATGGCCTCGATCCACGGACGACACCTTTCACCCGCATTATTGTGCAAGTTAAACGCTTCAAAAGTGAAACTATAACGTAAGTCGATACACGGAAATATCGTATCCCTATTCTCCTCAAGGATCAATCGGATGGTGCTCGCTGCTCGGGTCATTCAACGCTGGTGGAGGAGTACGGCGACTAATAAGAAGTCGTGGATGGAGACCACTGCTGGTGAGAAGAATGTTTCATTTCTAACTCGGTGTATTCTTCGCCTACGCGTCTTATTGGCGGTTACTTCAACATAAATTAACCTATCAGTAACGACACTATATAAACAACATTATGCTATAGTCATAGCTCGAATGCATTACATTATACCTCCGTCACGCTCTTGTACAGGTATATTCACAATCGAGGGAGGCACCTCTTGGCTGGACAACATTCGACAGTATGCTACTATGGAAATGACTAGGAGGTGAGCACTTTGCCAACGAGCGTTTTGTGTGGGAGTGATGAGTTCAGACGAGAGTCTTCTGTTGTTTACGACGACTAAGTGTCGTCATCACACATGCTCCCTTATCAACATGTTACTCGTTATATAACTGAAGAGTTGAGTTTATAGTAGGCACGGTTGTGGGATATGAAACTCTGAGTGTCAATCGGGTTGGGACGAGGAGGAAACGTAGAGGCATCAAACTGGTTTGATGGTGACGTTGAAAACGGTGATGAAGAAGACCTGAACAGGGTGTGGTATGAATGACTGTCACTTATAGTCCTCGAGCAAGACTTTGTGATGTGAAGTATCACCAGAGACTCTCTGGTGATGATTGTGGCTAGTGAGAATTGACAATTCCTATCATTAACAAAAAAGATGACATTGTGAATTGACAATAGAAACTAACAGAAACGCTCCAAAATTTCCTCGGAGTCTAGATATTGTCACCAACATTTGTGGTTGATGATGTGCCAATTTTACCACACTGGGCGGCTTCTTCTGTGATCATCACCATGATCACAGAACCACCGGTTCTGAACTGGAAACTTCGAAATAGGGTCAGTGTGTTAGAGTTTTTCGATTCATAAACGTTCCTAGTCTCATCCTGGCGAACATACCACCCGAGCAATACAATTTTGTCCACTACAGAGACGACTGGGAATCCCAGTCATCCCAGTCTGGGACGGTACAATACAAAACAGCACAACAGCACAACAGCGGAGTGCTGTTTTCTATTTTGGCCCGTAAGAACCGCACATGCTCTTATGTGTCTGCTGTTTTTTAAACGACAAAACAGCGCCAGCTATTTACAAAATCGCACTCTTATCACACATAATAGCACTCTGATTTACAAAAGCGCTCTGACATTGTGCAAAACCGCACTTCAGCTGAAACGCTCTTTTCTCTTGTGTAGAAATGCATTTCAGCATGTTTTTAGAATTTGCTCTTTTTCAACTTTTTTCTCGGCAGAAATACATTATGGCATACGCCCCTCTGCCACTTTTCTGCTCATTTCTATCTTTTTTCTCGCAATTTTTTCTAAAACATCGGCGGGTATGAGAGATTAACTCACCGGAAAGTACTACTTTCTGGGAGCGTTCTTCCGCTACGGGAAGTATGAATTCCTCACTGGGTGATGTTTCATCTGCAATCACCCGGACGATACTTTGACGATGTCCGTACTTACGCAGCTCTTCATTTCTTTCAGTCCTATCATACGCGAAATGTGTCCGTTGTGTGGTTTTTCTGCCGCTTTTCCTGTTATGTGCGTGCCACGCGCATACACATGGTCTTCATCTGTCTCTCACATCTGCTATGGAATTTCCCTGCTGCGCGTGCTCCGCTATGCTTTTGTTGATACTACGTTACATAGATGTTCTACACGTACTGTGTTCACGCAACAATACAAGGAGATGAATTGCACTAGTCACTACTTCACCATCCCCACCGACGTTTGTTGTTGCCCTGTATTATTCCACAACTGCTCGATGGCACCCCGAGAAGGTTTCGGCTTGCAAGGTGATATGAGATCCTAAAAAATTTCTCCTAACAATCCAATTTAAGGTGCAACTTTATCAAACAAATAACAAGTAACAGCCAGCGTTACTTAGCAATATATACTTACATTCATGAGGCGCGCTGACTCTGTTCCATTCGATATACACTTGATTTTAAGTTTTCGAAACGCGGGAATCAAGTGCTCAATAACTGTACTATTTCCTCGGAACCTTTTCCGTTGACGCTCGCAACGATGGCATACATAACGCTGCGATGAAGTAAAATCCACAGCCTCATCGGCACACCCTGCAATATGGATTCTCATACCACACGAGTCACAATCGGCCATCGCCCCAAAGTCGCTCCCGCGATTGCAAATATGACAGCATATTGGTTTAGGCATAGGAACCAAATAACGCAAACTGATAATGAAAAAATTTCCCATTGGAAGACAAGCAAACAATGTTACGGCGAGTAATGTAAAACAATATGAGTGACGACTTCGCTCCGCCGTCAAACGATCGAAACGCCACGTTACTTATCGCGATTGCTGTTATGTATGAAAAGGGCAACGGACAAAAGAGCACTCAAAATACATAACCGCATACAAACTTTATACAAAACAGCATCTGCGATTTCATAATAACACATTTTTCGTAAATAAGAGCGCAGCCGCTCTTTTGACAGTGCGATTTATTTTTGTGCTGTAATGGTTACCTGCGACTTTTAGTTGTAGAAAACCGCACTTCTGCGGTTCTGTACGTCAAACTACTATTACAGCACATCGCACTTTTTTCTGCTCTTTCTCGTGTGCTGTTTTGTATGGTAGCCGTCTGGGATAAGCCGAAAGAAATTTGGGCGCGCGCGAAATCCACAGGGTGCGTGCGTTCTGTAGTGGTGACAGGCGTGCCTAATGGCCATTCGTGATCTTATGGCGATTCGCAGCAATTCCTGTGTCTAGTCTGGTGATGTAACGGAACGTCAACGCGTCGCAACTACGGCATCTAGTGTCGAGCCGCTGGGAAATTCAAAAAGGGGAATATATCGCAGTGGCTGTCAGCTGTTGTCTCCTCTATTCTAACACTATGGATCCCAATTCACTCTCGGATCTTGTTCATCATCATCACCACCTGCGGTCATCATTCGGACTGTTGGCATCACAAAGACGTCTTAGTCATAGCTCTGAGGTCACGGGTTGGATAGTCGTAGGTGATATCCGGGAGCCTCCATACTTGCTTAGTGAACTGTGCTGTTTTTAGGGGTACTTGGAGGTCTCCTCGTACTAGCCCTTATTGGCTGCGCCTTATACGCTAAACGGATGCCCGCTGATGTGGGGACGCAGATTTGCCGATGTGGTGGCTGCCGCCGTCGATTCAGAGTATCGGCTAGTATCCAGTCTGATACATTCATGTGCCGAAGGTGAAGTTGCGCGAGGAGTGGTATGACTTTCGACCAACTCGGCTTTTAGATGTATTCGGGAAGGCCGTAGGAGAGCGAGTGAGGTTGAGGCTGAGGAAAGGGAGAAGCGCCTAAATTCACTCAATAACGCTCCTAAGAGGGTAGGTCTGTTTTTAGATCTGACTGTCGGGATCATCATTCACTTCAGGTCATGACGCTACATCGTGTGAGCTCGCATTTCTTCCGTATGAAATCGAAAGTCTTCGGAATCGAATCTTCATCGGACAGTCTATCTGATACTACCGAGAACCACACCAGGAGCAACAGTAGGACAAATTTCAATATACGTCGTGGCTTCACGAGAGCTGTCGATGCTGGACAAGTGGAAGTAGGCTCATGTGGAAGTCGCTCGCTTTCCAAAGCTGTGCTTGGCAGGTACCCGACAGTGAACAGTGTAAAATTTGTTTCGACGCCGAGGCCAGAGTGGTGCTATTGCCGTGTGGACATGGAGGACTTTGTGAAGGCTGTGCTAAGGTAGTGTCATATGCATATTAAATGCTTTGTGATGATCTCGGAAGGAATAGTAGTAGGAGTTATATTCTAGGTTGAATACACCTCATTGTGGCGATGCCTTCTCTCTTCAGGATCTGATAATGGCCTCGAGCGAATGTTATATTTGCCGTCAACCAGTCAAACTTATTGCTAAGCTAGGTCGTAAGGCAGTGCCGCGAGCGAATAGTACGGTGAGTGCAATAAGTAGACAAGTGTCTGGTATGAGTGCTGACAACTACCTGGCTGAGGTGGTTGGTCCGGACCAACTACACCATCTCGAGAGCCGTCGTGCTGCTGAGCTCCAGCAACAGCAACAGCAGCAGGGAAACAGGTTTGGGGTTATCCCATCTGAGCCCTCGCAGCCTACGATCCGGCCTCTCCAGGCGGTTGGCAGTACTGGGGAAAATCTGTCTATGGGCACTCCTGCTGTAGCAGTGGAAATGTCTCAGCTGAATGACGATAATACGGCACCACTACAACGGACTGCGAGTGTAACAGCCACGAGCTCGCCAGAGAGGATGGATGCTGCAGATGGAGCTTCTACTTCAGCTGCACTCGACCCTAGTGCTATGCCTAGGCCTCCGAGGTTGCCGACAGGTAGTAGCGTAAGATGAGGTATGGCAGTGTAGATGGTGTGTCCTTTGTGTAGGGGCTGCGGAGACTGGAACTCTCGGTGATTTACCGTTATGTGAGAGTGGTGAGAGTCAGCCTGAAGAGGAGGCGAACCCCGCGTCATCACCTCCTGGAGTGAGCACACCTCCGTCTAGGGCGGTGACGACTGGACAGGGAACTGCACCAGACGTAACTGGAAACGTTACCAGAGTTTGATCATTATGGGCTACCGTGAATTATGCGTACTATAGTTGGTAAAACGCCATCGTGAACACTCACAGTCGCTGCTATAACTCTGCACTCCTGCTACTACTACTACTACTACTACTACTACTACTACTACTACTACTACTACTAATGCTGCATGTACTTGAGTCGTGTCGCCTCGGATTGGTATTCATTTTTTTATCGAGAGCTTTGGGACGAAGAGCTGCACAGACCAGCATCATTCTCTTATAACCGTCCCGTTTTGTAAGTCATGTTTATGCCCAGGCAATATTTCCGAGGCGAATTCCGATTGTTAATTATCGTCTACTGCTATGGTAATGGTCCGAGGTATAGGCGGGAGTCACGTCTCGAGTATCACTGCTGCTGCTGTTGTTGCTTGTTGTTGTTGTGGTAGTGTTACCCGTCTTGAGATCATACTCTCAGCTTACTGAGGGTAGCAGTAGTAGTAGCTGCAGATGGTCGACAAGGTTTCTGTTAAATCTTCATCTTCACAAATCTTCGTCAACTTTAATTATTCAAAAGAAAAGGCTTCTGAGGTTACCATTGCGAAGGTCCTGGTGTTGTGTTGAGTGGTGTGATCAAGTTACAGCCTCAATCGTCCTCTCATATGTTGCAGTTGTTGTCCTCGCAAGCTAGAAAACGACGTGCAACCTTGTTGGAAGGTCTACTTTATGATGTCTCTGGGTAGGAAGGGTTATGTCTAGAGTATAACTCCAGTTAGTTTGATGATGATAAACAATATGTCTACTACTACAATAGCAGCAGCAGCAGTCAGACAGCTGCACTACGGTGCAGTACCGGTGGCTAGTTGGATCCTCGTTGGTAATGGTATCATTCTCCACTAGCCCCAATACAGCTCGATCAGGTGTCCTGGCCTTCGTCCTTGCCCTATCTCTCGTCATATGCTTGGTCTTTGCCAAGCGGATGCCCTCTGATGTGGGTACGCATATCTGCCGCTGTGGTGGGTGTGGGAGACGATTCAGAGTACCATCAGCCATACCAGCTGATACATTCATGTGTCGAACGTAATCGGGATCTATCGCAAAGCCTATTGTTCTTCATCGTTCTCGGAAGACTGGTAGTCTGTATTAGGGCAGCACCATGCTGCTACGGGATATCCGTGTTGTTCTGTTCTGGAGGCCCATAGACTGCTAGGTTGGCTTCTCTCAGTTGCATCAGAGAAGGTCGCCGTCGACTGAGTATTGTCCAGGAAGAAGAACGCGAGGAACGTCTAGAAGATATGAATAGTGCTCCTAAGAATGTAGGGTTGATTCTAGTGCTCGTCTAAGGCTATGGAGTCGTGAATGATTTGATTGCATTTAGGTTATGACGTTGCATCGTGTGAGCTCTCACTTCTACCGTATGAAGACGGCTGTCTTTGGTGGCAGTCCCAAAGCGGAAGATGATAGCGGCCAGGGAGACATCGAAACCGCCACACGGGGTCTCTCGGAAGATTCTCAGCGACCAACCATTAACATTCACAGAGGTTTCACTAAGGCTGTCGATTCTGGGCAAATACAGGTAGTGGCAGCACGCCGTACTTCGAGACATTGTTGAATCGGTCGGGTTATAACCGCGGTATGCAACCTTCGATGGAGCCTGGATGCTTATGGTCATTAATCGGCTATTATATTGTGATTTCACTGATTGTGATCACTTGCATCGTTATTGTGATCTCATCAGTGCTCAAAAAGCACGGGAACGGAACTCTCAGTCTAGCTTGTCCATCATGGATAGTCCGGGGATAGTGTCGTCTTCAAACACAGCTTACCTAAGCTGATTATGACCAATCTGTTGTAGGTACCTGATGAGAACCTATGCGAGATATGCTTCGATGACGAAGCAAGGGTCGTTTTATTGCCCTGTGGTCATGGAGGACTCTGCGAAGGATGTGCTAAAGTGAGCTTCTTGGTCGACCGATTCGCTGTGTATGATGTCTTGTAGGATATCATTTCCGCAACGGGCAACTGTTACCTATGCCGACAGCCTGTCAAGTTGGTGGCTATTGTGGGACGGAAAGAGCTCTCGAAACGGAGAACCACGAGTACGGCTAGTCGGTTGGACAGAGAGACTTCCGATATGAGCTCCGACAACTATTTTGCGCAAATCGTGGGCCCTGACCAACTTCATCATCTGGAGAGCCGTGCAGTTGAGCGGCCGAGGTCGATATCAGCATCTGCACAGCAGCAATATCTAGAGAATCGTGCGAATGTTGACCAGCAAAGATCGGTATCAGCTTCCGGTCAGCAGCATTCGGATGCTGATCAGTTGGGTACTCCTGCTGTAGCACAGCCCCAGCGGTTACTGACAATTGCGGAAACGTCAGCTCCGCCTGCCCCTCCAGGCACAACTGGAGAGCAAACTAATAGTAAGCAGTGCATTCATCGGAGCTTCTTCTGATAACTTCTTCTGTAGGCCCCGATGTTGGTGAATCTGCTGAGCCACACTCGACGCAACAGACGGTTCATTCTCCGTGATGTGATCAGAAGTTGGCAGAAAGAACCAACGACTATCTATAAGAGAGGCCGATTCGAAGTCTCCGATGGTCGTCATTCGAACTCGAGATCATTGTCCCATTCAGTCCATTGTTTTGCCTATTTTGTACAGAAGAGCTGATCACGCGCTATGCCGAAATTCTTTCTCTGCTTTGCGAAACTTATGATCGGCTTCCGTTTTTAACCCTGTAGATTTGCTGAAATCATTACAGTATTCCTCAAGCTGTTAGCTCCAATAATCGTGGTTCCTTCTATGTCGTGGTACGTACATGCTCTCTGTACTGGAAGCGACGCTTCTTTCTCTATGACACTTATACTTCACGAACCAGCTGTATAATTGGTCTGGCTCTCGGGTAAAATCCTTCAGAGAGCCCAGTCACTGATAGTTCTACACTCTAACCATTGCTGCCATTTGGTAGGAGATGATTGATACGCCTAGAGTGCAGTAGATAATTTGTTATATATATTGGGTCTACTGCAGGAAGTTGCTGATCTTTAGTCGTTGTTCTTCTTGTAACGTGAGAGTTGCGCGTATGTCTCTTCTAACATGACTGGCTGCGTTAGTGTTCGATGATGGGGGCAATTACATTTGATCACTCAGGGTATGCCTCACTGCAATTAATTCCCACAGGCGTACGACATGAGAAGATTAGGAATGATAGGCAGCTCAAAGGAAGATCCTCATCATAACTCGAGCTTGCCGAATAGCGGGAATTTCGCTGTTGGTAACGTCCGTTCCGGCATAGGGCAGATGCGCCAACCAGGGACTGGTGTCCTTCTTGTGTGTCTGCTATGATGAGACATCAGTTCAGGGTTGGTGGCATATCTGCCCCGGCGGAATCGGCCCTAGTAACAGCAAAAAAGGATGTATTGAGGCATATTTTGGTGTGGCATAGTTGCCCCGCCCGGAAAAACTCATCGTGTTGAGGCATATCCTCGGGTGGCATAGTTGCCCCTGCCGGAGAAATTAATTCCATCGAGGCATATCTTGGGGGTGCACAATAGCCCCAGCCAGAGAAATTAATTCCATCGAGGCATATCTTGGGGGTGCACAATAGCCCCAGCCAGAGAAATTGATTGCATCGAGGCATATGTTGGGGTGGCATAGGTGCCCCGGCCGGAGAAATTGATTGCATCGAGGCATATGTTGGGGTGGCATAGGTGCCCCGGCCGGAGAAATTGATTCCATCGAGGCATATGTTGGGGTGGCATAGGTGCCCCGGCCGGAGAAATTGATTGCATCGAGGCATATGTTGGGGTGGCATAGGTGCCCCGGCCGGAGAAATTGATTCCATCGAGGCATATGTTGGGGTGGCATAGGTGCCCCGGCCGGAGAAATTGACTGCATTGAGGCAGATGTTGGGGTGACATACTTGCTCCACCTTGAAGAGAGTGGGTTCACTTGCAGCGAGATGAGTTTCATAAAGGGACGTTGGGCGACATGTGACAATTGGAGTCTCAATATCATCGATAACCTTATCGAAGTGCAGCTGAGTGTACCAGTACACGATACCGTGGTAGATTTACCAATATAGTGTACCTTATACTATGCTGAATTCTTTCGAGCCGTATAAGTCTTTTACGGCTCGTAAGCATTCGGCATTGTGGTCGGACCTCTGTAGAAAAACTTCAAACGAACCGTCAGTAGGACAAAAAAAGATCTTGACGAGTATTCGCTGTCTCTTGTGTGACCTAATGGACCCCGACACGCACTTTGTGACGGGGACACCGACTGTGCGAATTCCTCGTCATCCTAGCTTGGGGCTCTCGTTATCGTCAAGGATTTCGTTCAAATAGGGCAGTTAGTAGTCGTAGGGTGGTTGAGTTGCTTGCGTTTCGGTACTTCGTCTTGATGCAGTTTCAAACTTTTCTGTATTCATTTTGTTGTGATCATGTCCAGCGCAATGGCGGTAAGTCGAGTCGCACCTTGAGTGAGTGACCAGTTATTTTCACGACATCTCAGGTGACCCTCAATAACGGTATGAAAATGCCTATTATTGGTCTGGGTACCTATCTCACTCCTGACGATGTTGTTCCTGCTGATGTCGTAGCCGGCATCAAGGCGGGCTATCGATACATAGACACAGCCTTTATGTAGGACGAAATCGGTTTTGCTCTCGGTGGAATTCGTTCTCGCAGATACGGCAACCACCACGGTGTGGGTCAGGGTATTGCTCAGGCTATTAAGGAAGGTCTTGTCACGAGAGAGGAGCTCTTCGTCACCACAAAGCTATGGTTGACACAGTTTCGCCCAGAGCTTGTCAAGCCAGCCGTTCAAGAGATGCTTCAAACTCTCCAGCTAGACTACGTTGATCAGCTGCTCATGCATTGGCCTTGTCCTATGAAGACTGTCGAGGGGAAGCTCGAGGCAGATCCCAGTGTTAAGCTCACTGATACTTGGAAAGCTCTCGAGGGACTTGTTGATGATGGACTTGTAGCGTTCCTATTCTTGTTGAGGATGTTCTGATGTGTTGTCATTCGCTAGGTTCGATCCATTGGTGTGAGTAACTTCGACACCAATGAGATTGATGAGATTCTCTCGATGTGCCGCATTAAGCCTGTCGTGGATCAGATTGAGGTGAGTACTTAGTCACCGGTATATGATGTTAGTGCACCTTGAATCAGGTTCATCCCTACTTCCCTCAATGGCGTATGTTGGATTACTGCAAAAAGCACGATATCCATGTTGTGGCCTATGCTCCTCTAGGAAGTCCCGCCAACAAGTATGCAGAATGTGTTCATACTAGGGTATCCACTGAGTGTGTCTGATCAGGCCTAATGATGGGTCAGAGAAACAGAATGTGCTCGAGCAACCTGACGTGGTAGCCATAGCCAAGGCACATAACAAGACTCCCGCACAGGTGAGATTGTGTTGAATTTTAAGTTCTCCTTGTATAACAGTGTTACAGGTTGCGGAGAGGTGGAATATGCAGCGAGGTGTGACGGTGATCCCGAAGAGTACCAAACCTGCTCGAGTTATCGAGAATTTCCAAGTCTTCGACTTCGAACTCAGTGAAGCTGAAATGGTGAGTACCTCTGTCTTATAGGTGTAACTCCTCTGCATTCGTCCGGGACTGTGCGAGACATTCCGCCGAGCTTTATCATCTCCATGCACTAAAGTCAACTCGTCTTTTTAGGAACTCATCAAGGACATCGCTCGTGACCCTAAGAACCGTCATCGTACCTTCGATCCCTGTTTCCGTGCAGATCGCGTTCATGCATTTGAACACGTGAAAGCTGTAGAGAATGCGTATACCTTCTGAGTCGTGGCTTCTGAGTAAATTTTCACTCCATTCCTTGTTCGTGTTTGTTTTCCACAGACCTATGTCTTAATCTTACACCACAAGCCTTTCTGGGCAGATTGGCCTGGATTATTCATATTATTTTCGTTGATACCTTACTGTCGAGTTCTAAGTGTCAAGCGGGAGACTGTTTTTGTTGCTCTTGCAGTGACTTGTATACTGTATCATCATCCATATGAAGAGCTGCGGAGAGATTCGCGCAATGAGGTCATGTAGAGATGTAGGGGAGAGTCATGAAGACCTATATAAGAACACAAGTGTTCTCCGAGCGGCTTTGCTCTCTGGTTGCTTCGTCCAGCGCACAAGTCACGTGTCAGTAAAGGAATGCATTCACTCTCTTGATTTACGAGAATCCATTTTGCCGTCAGTGAGAAGGGAGAGTATCCCCACTGTCTACTCTGACTTGTGCATTAGACTCTCCAGTCGATGCGGGATAAGGACCATGTTCGTTCCCTATCATGTTGTGCAGCAGTAGCAGCAACTGTGCCTCGTGAATTTGGATCCAAGTTCGGAGATTAGATAGGCCTCCTTACTTGGAGTCGTAGCAGCTTCGTGAGTGTTGGCTCAATAGTAGCTTCCGAGCTACCTCGTATTGCCAGGGCTTCACGCTGTGGGTGCTAGCAGCCGTCATCCTTTGTAACTTCGCTCTTTCCTATGAGTAATCGTCTAGGAATTATCCCCAGCGGCAAAACGGAAGTTTGGGCTCAGCGGTCACTACTCACTGAAGATTGTTTCTGTGTCCGTTCAAGAGGACTGCTAACAAGGGCATGCAAATGCCCATCATTAATTTGGATATCTACCGCACCTCGATGAAATGGTAGCCATGAACCTGGTGGCTGATATCAAGACTGGCAATCTGTCCATAGACAACGCCTTCATGTAGGACTTGTTACCGACTAGTAGGCCTCTCTTGGGATCTCCCCGTAGGTATGGCAACCACCATGGTGTGGGCCAGGAAAGCACACAGACCAAGGAGGCGGGCATTGTTACAAGAGAGAAGTTCTTCGTGTCCCGCAAGCTGTAATTCACTCAGCTCTGCCCTAATTTTGTGCGCCATGCAGTGGTGCAGTACCTCAAGGAGCTCAAGTTAGGCCTTGCTGCGGCATCATTACTTCGGTGAAGAGTCTTCAATAGGATAATGAATCATTATTAATGATGTTTTCCTTGGACGGGCTATCGACTCGCTGTAGGTGAAGCCGTTTCGAGCCTGAAAATCCCCAAGCACTCATGCCTTCGGGGGAGCATTTGCTTGATGCCATTGAGGATCGACGACTTGATGCTCTGGGTTTTGCTATGTGTGTTTCTGACATATATGACTAATGCTCCGGTAATAGGACTTTAATGAACTGTTCTAAAGTGTGCACGACTCTTTCTTAGTTGTTCTAGTGGGGGAATTGGGCGTATGGTCGTTAATCACTCCCGTGGCGTAAAATCAGAGTTTACGTGTTTCCGGAACATAACGTGAAGCGTGAAAACCGCATATGCTGACTATCTATCTACGACAGAGTACCATGTGATGAACCGCGGGGACGATGGTTT